AAATCACAGTAATGATAAGTTAATAATAAAAAGAATATAAAATTACTTTTAATTATCATTATGTAAATACATTAAAAATGCCGGTGCAAATATATTTGAGGGTGCCTCCTTGGCGATTTTTTTTGTTTTGCGCCATTCCTGTTCGCGAGGAACACCTTGCAAACAGAAATGACGGCTAAAACATAATGAAATTTTAATAAAACATTGGAAAATTTCAACGAAGCATCGAGAGGACGGGATAGCCTGGTTGGTAGGTCATGTCCAAGAGATCGTGACTTCGATCCCCGCTGGCCGAAGGCTCCCCGTGTAGTAAATGGTGACTGATGCATGTTAAATCTGTCAAGACACAAAGTCCTCCATGTTCCCATGACATATCATACCTCTGGGGGTACTGATCCAGGAGTTTCCTTGTGTTCTCAATTGGGTTCAAAATGACAAGGCTGCGGAGTTGAACATTAGTTGTCGAAAACGTAAAAACTGGGTCGGCTGCTCAACGACGGATATAAGAACATCGGGAGCCGCAGTGACTCAGGGGATAGAGCGTTCACCTTCCAATGAGTGCTGACGTGAAATATCCTCAGTGGTAGACGGATCATGGGTTAGAGTCCCCTTGCCGGCAGGATAACCTTGGGAGGTTCTCGTGGTCTTTCTCTCCATGTAACGCAAATGCGGGTTAGCCCCAGCAAAAGTCCTTCACGAAGGCAACTTTCTCCCAATACTCGATCCAGGAATTTCCTTCTCTTCTGGATTAGTTCAAAATTACTTAAAAAAAATAATAAATAGCATTGCTGTTAGCATTTTAAAATGACTTTGCACTAGCATTGACAGTTTTGTATTGTTAAAAAATTTAATTGAATATCAAAATATAATTTTCCTGGTATGTCTTAAACAATATTTCCAATAATAACTAGCTTCAAACCTTCCCATACATTTTTCAATATAAATTTTTTTTATCTCAACCGTTGTAAGCATTTCTAGAATTCATACAGAGGGTATTATTTCCAAAAAACTTCGTTGAAAATAATTTTTTCTGTCAATAATGTGTCTTTCATATGAAAATCAGTCGTTTTCCTGGCACTTTTTTTAGTAATTTATAACTGAAATAGGTAGCGCCAGCAATCAACATCTTAGGTTAGGAGATTAATTAGAATACCATCCTATCAGAACCTGTCTAATTTCAGGAATAAAGAACCAACTTTCTGAGTCAAAACGTATTTCAAAAAATTTTACAAGGTGAGAAAGTTTTTATGTTGCCATTTTCATGTCCTCTTGAAATCATTAATAAAATTTACCTTAGTTGTTTAAAGATATCCTGATGTTTTCTGCGGAAAAAAACGTCTAAGGCCAAAACCTTAAATTAAAGTAATGTTAAATGCTGTAAAATGACAAAATTGTCATTATCTTGGCTGTCATTTTCCTGGCTTATAAATTCCAGAACATTAACACAGTTATAAGATAAATTTTTAAACTCTATAATGTAAAGAGAGGGAAAGGAAATATTAACGTAATACCCAGTTTATGAAACATTGTAATATGCTCGTATGTAATTAAAGATATTTATTTATTTAATGATTGATTATTGTACACAATTTTATTCTGGTCATAACAACAAAAACATTTTTGATTCTTTCTACAGTGGATAAAGTAATCAATTTAAACAATTCATGGTCCATCTAACTCAAAGGCTTTAGGTTATTTTTTTTTTAAAACACAGATAGTTAAAAATATAAAGGATAAACTAAGAACATCACTGTACAATTTAATTCTGTCATAGTCTTTAAACTCTACATGGGTGTATA